TTTATTCATTTTCTAATTATAACATATTTTTATTGATATCTTAATGCTAGTAAGTCAAGGGGTCAATAAAATCTCCAGATTCAGAATTTAGAATGAGTAGTCCATTTTAATATAATCTCACTTATTCTAGATCTTTTTAATAAATCTATCGTCCTTAATATTAAATTACTTTTGTTTCATAAAACTAGGGAATAGTGGAATATATTCTTTCTCTAATCATAATATCCTAACCAAATGAAATATAGCATATTGATTTATCATTCTAGTCTAAAAACATATTCTTTACTTCTAAACCATATTTTGCTAGAAATATTCTATTTACGTATTGATCATATAAGATGTCATAGATAAGTAGAATGTTTCTTTGCATATTCTCAGAATTAAATCTTGTAATAAAAACTACTAAATAGTTATCAAGGAGACGAACAAACCCAACGTTGAAACCTATTTCAATGTTTATTTTATTAATCTATTTTAACCTTAAATCTTAGGTATCGATTTATCCAAAAATATGCTTGTCGTCGAAGTAATAGTAATTTTAGAATTACTAAAAAATAAAGAAACCCATTTCATATTTTCTGAAAAGTACTAGGTCTTACTTTTAATAAACATAGGATTTCCCTTCTTAACCCTCTAGGATAATATGATTTGGCATTCTTATTTGACTTAATTCTAATTCCACATCTTCATTTAATACATATGCTTAACTCGTTTATAGATAGATAAATTTAAATTCTCCCTTATTGAAATTTAACTTGGGAATCCCATCTTTAATAGAATTTAGAATAGTAAGAATTTCAGCCAAAATATTGTCATTTTATGCAAAATTTTAGAGAGAATATTTTCCAGAATATTTCAAAATAATTTTAAAGTTTTAATCCTCAAGTGTAAGAGCAGTGTATACTAAATAATCATCAATTATAACAAATGCAGTAAGTTCAACTTCTTCCAAAATGAGAACTTTATCCTCAATATTGAAATTTTTGTTTTACAAATCATCAATATTTATGATATACAAACTCTATTCTTTAATAAAGCTAAGATAGTCTAGGCTGTTAATTGAGAAAAAGTCTATTGATTTCCATTTAAATTCGTCATTGAATTGCTTAATAATCATGTTGTATTTAGTGTCTCAAATTTAAATATAATACCCTGAACTGTCTTCATCCTCATCCTCTTTCTTTCCTTGAACTATCAACAGACATCTTGATCGAAGATATTTTATTTGCTCAATAATGATTACCGTTTCATCTTCTGCTACTTCAAATATTTTAAAATCCTCTTATAGACTATCTTCTGCAAAATTAAACTCTTTTAAGTAAGTAAACATTGATTTTTTTAAATAGACATATTGCTCCTACTATATCTTAGATCTGAGATAGTTTAAGCTTCAATTAGTTTTCCGTTTAAAGTATCTCTTATAAAATAATCTTTAGATACAATTTCCAATTTTTATAAGCATTTGTGAGTTATTATTTTCAAGGTTAAAATTCCTGTTCTTCCTCACTTGAATATTAATCATAAAATTAAGACTCCTTCTCTTTAGATCTGAAATAGTTCTAGACTTCATTTGGTTTTCCGAAGTAAATATCGTTATCTTTAATTTCATAAGTACAGATAAGGTCTTTTAATTTACTTGGACCTTATGCAGTTTATGTTTATCTTTTTACTACTTCTAATATTTTATTAAAATCAGCTCTGCTCATTTTTTTGCAATTTTTATTAGAATTAGTTTAAAAATTATTCTTGAATAATACTAAAAGTAGTTTAAAAATCTCTTCACTTTTATGATCAAGTCTGGCTTTATGCCTCTTGACTACTTCAGTAACTTTTTCATTGAATTTGTTGTTATTCAAGTCATTTTAAAAATCAAAGGATTCTTGATTTGTTCGAACCCATTCTTTAAAGAGTTATGAGAAGTTTAACTCTCTGTAATAGTCATCAGAGAAAGTCATATCATCCTTGATGTTATAATTATTCTGATTTTTGCAAATCTTATGCAAGTAGCAAATTAATCTGTAAAAAGTGTTTTTTAGAACAAAAACAATGAAAATCAAAGAAAATGTCATAATAAATAAGATTGAGTGCCAGCTTTTAAATCTGCCCAAATCTATTGTAACTAAATCAATAGTTATTTAATCAAATATATTATCCGTTGAGTGACTAGGTGTAAGAATATTGATATTTGAATACATGTAAAGTCCAATAAAAAAATGGAATATAACTGCATAGTACATCAGAGACACTGTAGATGAGGAAAGATTAATGGAATGAGAAGGAGGTTTTCTGTAGCATTTTAACACTATAATTGATGAGCAAAATTTTTGAGACTTACAAAAGAATTTGTCGAACCAGTAAGTCAAGAAGAAACTAAAAAATGCAATTAAGTAGAGTATAGGCATTCCAGGTGAATACATTAGGATTATATATAACTAAGTAAGGATCGAAGAATATCTGAACTCCATCAAGAATTCAGGACCAGTGTAAATATTTTCGTATTCAGTCTATATAGTCTATTTAGTAAATATTCTATTGCGTCAGCATCCTCTATCTCTGCATCTCTTGATAGATTTTAGTATTAGAAAAATAGAGTTAGTGATATGGGGTGCGAATGAGTTTATTATCATGGTTATCGGCTTTAGCTTTGTTATTTGAAAATAATATTACAATAGTGGCTCCAATGTCTTTGTGCCATTCTACAGTAAATTCTTTGTATTTACCTTAAAATATTCCGATTGCAGAGAAATTCGAGCCGAAATTAATGTTAACAACAATAATTAAAACACCCTAGCTTTGGTTAAAAGAATATCTATTACATTATTAATGAATGATACTATAAACATTTTGACCATACTAGAGTATAACTCTTCAGTCTTGGTGTGAAAGTACTCATACTTTGAGATAACTAAAGAGAAAATTAAAACTATAGAAGATTACCTCTCATAAGAATCTTTATGATTATATTGATGGATGAAATACCAAAAGCTATTAAGAATATAAAGCTATTAGCTAGAGTATACCTCTTAAGCCACTCACTGCAATACTTTTCACCATCCTAAAATTAAATATCGTTTACACTGATGTTTATCTTAAAGAATTAATCTAGACAATAACAATGCATTAACCCAATTCTATTATTTTTATCCTTTAACTGATCAACAAAGGCATCGTTTTAAGTAACTTGCAAATCAGGACATTCAATCTAAGGTGAATAGTCTTAAAGTTGATTTTTATATAAATTTGCTATGATTAAAATCACAAAAGTAACTATCAGGAGTATTAGAGCAACAATAGCAATAATAATGCTGAGTCCAAATCTCTGACATTTACCAATTTTTAAGTTTTGCCATAAAATAATGTCTGGAGATTAAGCAGGCACCATTCTTATCCTTTTTGATAAAAATTACTTTGCTTTGAACTGTTGTAATTTACAGCAAAAGTATTTCCTTAATTGTCTTGCCAAGTACCCATCCTAATACGCATGCAAAGCCTTTAAATTTTTAAAAATGTAATATATACTTACTCTATATCTACCTTCCATTGATCAGAATATCACATAAGCATTTATAATTTTGTTACTATTGTCTTTTTTATTCTATTTCTTATCCAAAATCAGATTTTGCTTTGTAGAGATGAGTTTATTTTTATTTTTTATTTTTTTCAAGCTCTTTTAACTTTTTTTATTTTATTTTCTCAGCTTAGCTTTTAGAATATCTACTTACTTGATATTATTATACTAGTCCATATTTGTCTTTATAAAGCTATAGCTAGCCTTGCCAAAATATATATTGACGATTTCCTTAAAATTTATACTACTACGTTTCTATCCTGTTATAATTTGCTACTTTGAAATAATATTTTCTAGATGATCCCAAAGAAGAGCTTTAAACTCTTTAGGATTTGTAAATTCTTCAGAAGAGGGTAGATTTTAAATACTCACCGAGAAATCTTCTGTTTTGATATATTTACTATTTACATATTTATTTTCTTCTTTTTCACATCTCTCTAGACTATATTAGATTAAGATTAATTTATATTTTACATTGAGATAGCCATGATATAGGAAAGGATAATCAAAATATCAAATATTACAATAATTATAGCAAGTTTAGATCTATCTATCTTATAATTTCAAAAGGGGATTGGAACGTATAAATTTTGGCAAAGTGCTTCAGCATAAATTTATGGTTTTAATCCTCTAGGATCAAGAGCTCTTTTGTTAATCTCTAAATTACATTAAGCATTAAAGTCGCTTTTTAATAGTTGAAACTAGCATTGTATTTTACCTTTGCATTCCTCATCAAATCTTTTATGTATCTGCTTCTCATATTTAATACCCATAGACTCCAAGTTGCACTTTTTATCAATATTAAGTTCCTGACTGAAGTCATATGGGCACTATGAAGACTTAGTAGATAGACCGTAGACGAAGATTCACTCTAGTTCACCCTATGAACAGAAGAAATAGATTAACTCCTGAGAGCTGACATCTCCATAGTTGCAAGCATTTGAGGCTTATCCAATGTTTCCAAGAGAGAAAGCAGTTATAATATGCTTAAGAGTAAGTTTCTCAGTAGATATCTAATTTCCACTGTAGTAAAAGAGAAAAGAAGGTAGACTCAGCAAAAAGAACCAAAGGAATAATATCATTAGAAATTTAAGCATCTTAAAGTAAACAGTAACTCCTACTCCCATTTCTCCTAGGTCTGAATGCTTGCATCCACAGCAATGCCATCCTGTTTTAGATCCACACCACTTAAGGGGGACTCTTTGACCATTTTTAAGCTTCCTTCTAGGATGTCTCTTATTAATAACATGCTTCATCTTACTGTATGAGAGATATCCATTATTCGCATCTTTATCCCATTTTGTATCACCTCACTATAATTCTTCATCTCCCTCATCTATTAATAATTCTTACCCTGTTATTAATTGCCATGATTAAATACTATTCTCTTATTTAATTTCTTCCTTTAAATCATCATTCAATTCTGATTGACTCCTTGATATTAATTACTATAAGTCTGTGGAAAGTGGAGCTTCTTTTTAACTATGCTAGTTTATCAAAATTTCCTTTAATGTCTATTTAATCTCACTCTCTTGAGCAAAAATCTAATCATTATTGGTATTCTTTCAAAAATATTTATTAGATATAACATTGATAGGCTAAGCTTTCAACTAATAGAAAGTCTAATGATTATCATAGCTATTTTATTCTAAAATTTTATTAAAATGTTTTTTGATATCCTCATCTAAATCATAATTTTCAGGCACTAAACCTAATTTTTACTCTTCATTCTATAATTCCGCTTCAGCAGGTGCGATATTATTTGTCTTAAAATATTGTTGCTCATTTTGATCCATATCATTTAATATTTTATATTAACTGTGATTTTTTTCCTCTTCTACATAGTCCAATGACTTTAATAAATGTTTCTATTTGCCCTATTTATAATCTAATTTATGTATATATCTGCTAGTTATTTAGGTATGAAGTTAATGAATCCTCAATTTCCTTTTATATGATGCAGCTTTCATTTTATTCTAATTTTTAATATATCTATATCTCTTTTTAATTGTAAATAAAATTTTTAGTGACTTCGAATTTCTTTATAATATACAGAAATATTAATTAAATTATCATATCAGTATCTTAGATTGTATCATAGATGCTTGGGGTTTTGGGGTTTTGGGG